AGCAAGTAATCAGCGTAAATATTGCCGGATCAATTACCGTTATAAATGTTTGCATTAGCACACCAAAATGAGAGTTACCAATAAAAAAKACCCACAAACACATATACACAGCTACACATACACATGCAAACCTCGAAAACAGCTAACGAATTCATTAAACCGTTGGCGTGAGCAATTAACGGCATCTTATTTACTTTACGCCAAACTCAATTTATCATTATTTAAATACAAATGTAATTAGCTCTATTTCTAGCAATTAATTCTATTCAATATTTTACACTAATTAACTGATACAAAATATTTAATCAAGCGCCGTTATTCGGTGGAAATTTTTTTAAAACTTGAAATTCATTGCCGCAATGTATTTTACTATAATAATAGCAACAACAACAGTGTAAGAACATATTAAAAATACAAAAACAATATTCACATCACCAAACAATACAACAACAAGAACAAGAACAAATTAAAAAAAAATTCTACACGCTGCTGCTTCTTTGGCGGCGTCTCCACAGGGCCTCTCTTTACAAACTCCTAAACAGTATTGCAATTGTGAAAAACCAAAAAACAACAACAACAAAAGCACAATTAATACAAATTTGAACAAAATTAAAAGGTAAAATAACAAAAAAAAAAACACTCATAGCAATTGAAATTGTAAAGCCGCAAATTGTGTGGCAACTAAATTTGTGCAAATAAATAAAATTGAAATAAAATCTTAACAGCATTAATTTAGTGAAAGTAAAGTAATAAAAGACAAAAACTACAACATTTTTTGAGTTTTTACTTTTTAAAAAAGCAAGCGGTGGGTATTTTTGGCAAAAGAATGCTGTGGGCAAAAAGTAGTAAGACTTTGTTCGTAATTTTAAAATTCTTAATTTATTCTTCCAAATCTATGTCGTTCCACTCAAAGTAATCCCCCTTGAACCCAAAACACTTTTGCTACATTTTTTACCATCCCCGAAACAGTTGTTAAAGTCAATAAAACTCAAATAGTATTCCTTGTTGGTAGTTTGGCCGGTTGGAAGGAATTCAGTGTGCTCCACATCTAGATAATCGAAGAAAGCCCTGATTTTTGACCTGCTATGACGTGAATTTATSAGCCTCGGCTCACCTTTGCCACAATATTCGTCCGATTGATCATCTGTTTCCATTTCGTAAACATAGATCCAAGACACCCATCGCCAGTAATACTACCTTTGATGACATACTGGTAGTCAGAAATCATTGTTACACAGACGGATACGCGATGCTATTTTCCGAAAAAAGTGTGTGATTTTTTACCCTTTCAAGCCTTTTTCAACATTCTGAACTTTTCGGTACCAGAWATTTGATTCGGCACACAAAATTTAATGGAACTTCTATTTGAATAACTCCACTCATCGTAAAAACCGCCGAATACACTTTATGTTCTTCAGAAAGACATTTCTTACTATTTTTTGCCCACCTAATTACTGCTTATTTGGTACTACACCTGTAGGTCGGTCTAGACAGATAAACTTCGCCAGTTACCTATATTCTACAACCTAAGGGAAGACAGGATGGAGTCATGTGTGCTTACATTGGCAGCGTTTTTATACGTGGCGGGTCCCAAATCCAGCGCACAACCCTGTAGAGGGGTTCGCTTGCAAATAGATGTGAGCTGTTTGAGCCATATGTAAAAGCATCATTTATGGCCACTTCTAAGTGAATGCCACTCAGAGAACTGTCCACACTAGCGTGAACTTCGACACACGACCATCATCCTAGAGATGCCAGTACAAAAAGGTAACGTAATACACGTATTAGAGAAAATGGAATCAGAGCCTTAGTGCTTCCTGTAATACAGAAGCATGTACATTTATTGTACTACTATGGAACAGATTCTTACTGTAAAACAAGATTTGTAAAGCTCATTTTCTTAATATTTGATGCACTAATATCTAACAGCCCGCCCTGCGGTTGAGGATAGAGAACATTCTGTTCAAATTCTTATGTTTATAGCACTTTAGTTCGCTAGCCTTTATGGGAATTATTTACATAAATATTAAATACAAAATTTTTACTATCTAAAATTTGACTTCAATTTGCTACACTATGAAGTTTGAAATCTGTACTAAAACTCCAAGCAATACCCCAACGTGTCGTGTTGCCTTGACAAAATTCCGTAGTGCACACATTCGTAATAAGTTTCTTAGACAAAATCTCCATAACGCGCGAAACACTACTTTTGTGWCCCAACATCGTTGTATAAATGCTGTAAAATAGAGTTATACAAAAATAAAGCAGTTAGATAAAAAAAAAAACGTCTCAGCTATACAGTACAAGCATTAAGAACCCACCGAACGCGTTGTGGATAAAGCTCACTATCTTCAATTATGCGCTGGACAAACTGCACTTCACCGCCTTCACAAGCCAACTCCTCGTTATGGCCCGTATGGCAATTGTGCGGCGGTGTACGTTTGTCATTTCTTGTTGTGGCTTTGAAAGGATTTGGTAATGAAGAATCGTAAAATGGTGGATTACAGAGACAAAAATGAAAGTTGACATCCGGTTTGGCATTAAAGAAGTCCTCGAAAATTATTTGCTTATCGGTCTGTTGGAAAATATCCACCAGCTGTGCCAGTTTATTAGCTTCCACATTTCTCTGTGCAAATGTGAGATTGCTTTCGTTTGACTCGAGCGCATGCATGTGCCAAGCATTTTTACGCGCTGCCAGGAGTGAGTAGATGCAGGAAGAACCACATCCTATATCTATACCGCGTATTACTTCCTCTGCAGGCAATTTAAGTAACGCGATCATGTCTTCCAGCCAGAGTATGTAGTTCAAACGTAGCGGCAGTGTAGGCACAAGACTGCCAGGTGCAAATTCGACATGCAGTTGAAAAAACTCTTCCAATAACATTTGTGTGAGCGCACGCAATGTAGCTTCATTACGATAGTCTATGTACACCTTGCCATTGAGCTCCTGCATTCAAAAAGGAAATTGTATTAACAAGAGTGACACTAATACTTTTAAAACTTCTTACCAGCTTGCAAACTTTGCGAAAGTCTTTGTATTTGATTGCTAGTGCTGTGTAATCTGGCGGTGTTCGGAAAATATTCCGCGGATGCATTAATCTTTTATTTTTCATTGTTTATGTTGTACTTGCAGCCTAAAATATGTTTACAATTACATTATTATGTTTGCTTTCACTGGAGACTACAGTAAAACAGCTGACGACAGTTTAGGGATGCCACTACCATTTTAAAATTAGTTCTTTATAAAACTATAGTTAGTGGATCACATAGTTTTTATACCAAAAAATTTTCTTATTCGATACTTTAAAGATATCTATTCAATTCGACAATAATATATTTAGCAAAGGTTTTTGAAAACAATTTATATATTTCTAGAGCTCAAAAAAAAATTTAATGATCTAAGACTAATTTAATATAAATTTGGGGCGTAAAAATTTTGAAATTCAAAAATAGGTTTGACATAACCTTAAATAGTTGAATCATGATCTAAATTTTACATTAACTATAAAAATTTATTTTAACTCATAAAACACTTTTTCGATTAATACAAAGTTTTTCCGCTATACAAAGAATGAAACACCTAAGGAATGAGAGCTATAGTTGTACCGAAAACTACATTAAAAAAAAGAGTTGGCAACATTGTTTTCTAAAAACGAACATAACTTTATATATATTGCAGCTGTCAAAACAAACGCACGCTGACAGATTTCATTTGATATAATTTTTCGGCGAAGTGAATATACATTTTTGAGTCTTCAATATTTTTTATTAATTAAAACTGTGTAAATATGTCTGAGACCAGCACTAAAGACACAGTTTTGAAAACGGCGATGACCTATATCTGTGGCGGTAAGTTTTGAATAGCAAATTGTCTTGTAAACGACTTGAGGGACATGATTTGTTGCGGTTACTGGAAGAATGCGCTAATTGAAATTGATGCCGCAAAAAATTTTTAGAATTAATTAGCAAAAGCTTTATTGCAAAACAACTATATACTTAAGAGTATTTCAATTAAACTATTTTATGTTTAAATGTTTAGAATTAACCCAACGGTTCTTCGCAACCAATATGGATTCGGTATTACTTATACATATCAATTACACTCAATTTTAAAAATGAAACTATTTTTTTGCTATTACCATAATATATGTATGTATATAATCAAAGAAATTAAATRGGTTCTGTTTAATATCGCGCCGGTTAATTTTGGCTCACTGTATCTAAACGAGAGAATCAAATTGAAAATTTTAAACAGGCATGTGTGCTTAAATTAAAAAATTGCAAATTTCTAAATATATGCTAGTATATTTTCATCTGTTGTGCATTGTACCAAACCAATTATGGATACATTTTCACGCACATATATTACTTATGAATTATAAAACGACTAGTAATGTTTTTAATTACGTTTGATTGTTAATTTCATTGTAAATCATTAAATAAAAAACACCTTTTTCTGCATTCATCAATAATGCGAAAGACCAAAATGACTACCTAATTTGAACTGTCAAATTACCGAGAAAGCACKAACAAAAGGGAATAAATTAAACCCAGTTAGACATAAATGAATGAAGTGAACGCGAAAAGGTGTTCAATGCTAAAATACTGTGGATGGCGTAGCCGGTGTTGGACCGGCCAGGGTTATTTTTTTAAAGCGCAGAAAGGAATGAAATGCTAAAATACTGTAGAAGAAATCCCRGTGAAGCATTATTTTACAAATTTAACTATAAAACAAATTAAGACTTTATATTTTTTAACGATTTCCATAATTTCAATATGCCACTTAATATGTGTGCTGGGAAGCATAACGGTACTTTTTGTATCTTTACCCATATTTAAAAATTTGCCGTTATGCAAAACGTTATTCGGCGTTATTGAAAATAAAAATATTATTATAAAACAATGTGCGAAATTGCAAATGGTGAGTAATAATAATAAATAATAAGTTATTCTAATATTGGAATATATTATTTTTTTCAGGAACGCGGTCCACACGGTTTGAGTGGAACCTTATGCGTGTTGGCACCGAGCTGCGCACGCATGAACAAGGAGTCCGTTTTGCGGAGGAAAACGGCCTAATACCGAACGCGCAAATGTGCCCTGTACACAAGGTCCCAAAGACGATACGGAAAGGGGGCAAATTTGGATATTTTGTGTGCTACAGGGGYACGTGCACAAAAAARCCACGTGTTTCAGTAACCATCGGGACATGGTTTGAAAATGTCCGCATCAGTGTCCCTCAGGTGTATTTTTTGATGTACTGCTTTGCGTGTCGTATGTCCCGCGAAGAARTATTGCGTGAGGACTATACAAATGACGGGAAAACTTTTTCATCTGCAACAATAACAGACTGGTATAATTATTGCCGAGAGGCCGTGGTGATATACCAGTTGGACCACCAAAATGAACAGGGAAAAATTGGTGGTCCGGGAAAAATTGTTCAGATCGACGAGAGTAAATTTGGGCGGCGGAAGTACAAGAAAGGTAATACTATTTCCTTATACAACGAATTTAACTCTAATAAGGTGTTTTTTTTTTACATTTTAGGCAGGCGCTTAGAGGGACACTGGGTTCTTGGGATGATTGAAGATGGTAGCGAGGACATACGCCTCGAAGTATGTCCTGACAATCTTCTAACRGCGGACATTTTAATTCCATTGATCCAGAAGCACGTGGCTGAAGGAAGCATAGTTCGGACGGACTGCTGGCAGGCATATGACGAATTACCAAATTTTGGGTACGTCCACCAAAAAGTGAATCACAGTGCCGCCACAAACCCTTTCGTTTCCGAAGATGGTGTTCATACGCAGCGGATTGAGTCGCAATGGCGCGTAGTGAAACGTTTCTTTTACCAAGCCAACTATAATGACACCGCCAACTTCGCCGACGTCATCGTCGAATATATGTGGCGGCGATCTATTAAAAAACAAGAAAAAGATCCCTTTGTATCATTAATAGATGCAATTAAATATGCATATACATTGCACTGAAACATTTTGGTTTTCTTTATTTTGATATCTTGTCCATACAAAAATGTTGGCTGGGTTGCATTGGTTTCAGCTTGTATGGAAAATGAGCAAAAACACTAATTTTTGGTCATTTTCAAAGGGCTCCCTAAAGGTCTATAGGGGGTCGAGGGGGGTTTATTAAAARGTTCSATCCTTCTTCTTTCCAATAAGGGGGCGTGAGGGGGTAGCCAATGTTTTTCTCCATAAACGATACTTAACCGGCGCGATATTAAACAAKCCCYAATTAAATATCTAATTCTACAATTCTAAATTTTCTCTTTCATATTTTACACAGAGTGTCATCATGAAAACGAGATGCGTCCACGTGATCCTATACGTTGCCGTGAGTGCGGCTACCGCATCATGTACAAGAAACGTACCAAGCGCTGTAAGTGYATAGTTATATTTGTTATGAAATGCATAAATATTTCACAACTTTTATTATATTTCTACTTTCAGTGGTCGTTTTCGATGCGCGTTAGTATTCAACAGATGTGCAGCCTATRCAGTGTTTTTTGAAATAAAGTTAGACTTTTAAGTGCATCGCTTATGTAGAAATAAAATATATAATAGCTAAATAGCAATGACTTATTATTTTCCTAACATTGCCTGCATAGTTTGAGGGAGGCCTAAACAACTTATAGAAGAACAATGCTCAAAGAAACCAATAAATCATACAGCGATCGTTGTTTAGACAAGCAAAAATCAGAATTTGAGAATTTTTGTTTATAGATATGTAGGTTTTAATTTACACACAGAAGGAAGATATATATATACTAAGATTAAGGGTTTGCACTGCGACCTGCGATCTGTTGTGTCCCTACCTATATCACATATGGTTACCAAGGTACAGCATTCTGATCAATTCCARGAGCGTGCTTAGCGCAACTGARGTGATGTGATCCCTGCAGATGGAACCTAGAGCCTTTAGTATCGTCTGACTGTCGCCAAGTATTGCGATAGGTGCAGTGCAGATTGACTTCTGCGTAGTGACTTAAAGCAAGGACTTCTGCTTGAAAAATGTTGGGAAAACATACCATTGGTATGCGGTGTCGCAATGCCTGCTCCAACACCTTCCGGTGTATTCAAGGCACTAAATAGTGCTGCCTCTTAGCAGTATATCAAGCGTGTATTCGTTCCACTCAAAATGCCGAGAATGGCTCTAAAATTCTTTGTGAAATTCATCGTCTTTATAACGCCGTCCTTTGAAAGAAGTTCCAGTGTTGCGTCTTCTCCTATTGCTTTCATTTGTTGAGAAGACATTATTTTCCCTTTGCCAAAACCTTTTGCTGCCATTAATCATTAGATGTAGCGATGTGAGCGCCAGCATGGCTTCAAGTGCCGCAGTGGGGTAAGTACGYGTAGCCCCTGAAGCGCAGACACAGACGAGGCTTTGCAGCTACGATAGTTTAAGGCCTACCGAAGTCTGTGTTGCCTTAGTTGCCCAAGCAACCGCTCCATAAGTGATAATAGGCCTTACGATCATGGTATACAGCCTACTCCACCATTGCCCAGTGAGTCCAGGGAATTTGACCTTTTTAGACACCTTTAACTTCCTGCCACCGTGTGTTAGGGGCCTCAAACCCGGAAGAAATCTTCGCTTAGTAAAAGCTTAGTAATAACAGCTCCACGTTTATTTTTATTTTAAACTAATTTTAAGATGTTTATTTTCAATATTCAGAAATATAAATTAAACTAAAAACACATTTGACATTTAATTATCATATCCAGCCAAGAGACCACACGTGCTGCAGGGCTTTCATACATCTTTTTCTTTTTTTTTAAGTATAGTTTTACTTATTTTTTAAACTTTAGTGGTTTTTTGTGTGACTTTTAAACGCTGCTATTACCGTTACACATATTTTAATATTTAAGTGTAATTTTCACTTTCCATTAATAGCGGTGTCTTTACTACTGCCTTGTTGCTTTGTCTTTTTTGTTAAAATTTTTATTACTCCTAAACTAAAATTTTGTTAATTTCAATTAATTTAGTTTTTAATTTCTTTTTCAGCGTTTAATTTATTATTTTTTTATTGCGTAAATTTAATTTATTTTTCCGCAATTTTATTAAATTTTTCTCAATCTAATTTATTTTTCCGCAATTTTATTTATTTTTCCGCAATTTTATTTACTTTTCCTCAATTTAATTTAGTGTTTTTCCATTTAATTTAAATTTTCTTCAATTTAATTTATTTTTTCTCAATCTAATTTATTTTTCCTTAATTAAATTTAATTTTCTTCAATCTAATTTAATTTTCATCGTTTGTCTTTGCTGCCAAATGTGCTTAATTAGCTTTTAGAAGTTTTCTAATATTTGCTTTCTGTTTTTTGTATTTTTTGTATTTGCAAAAGGTTTTTACAACATTTTAGACTACGTGTGTATACACTAAACGGCTGCGTCTGCTCAATTATATGTATGTATGTATGTCTGCTTTTTGTTGAAAAAACATTACAGATAATTTTTCTTATTTTTTTTAGCATTTACTGCTTAAAATTCATTTTTTTCAATTTTCTCGTTTTTTTTTTACTTATAACCACCATTACGATTTGAATTCTTACATGTGTTCATACTTTCAGTTTTAAATAAAGTTTTTTGTTTTTAAGGTTAGGTTTTTTTTTTGTAATATTTTTATTATTTTCAGTCCATTACATTCGCTTGCGCATTGTAAACGTGCTAACGCGTGTTTACGAGGCGCGACATACATCAATTATATAATTTTTACTTTTTTCCTTTTTCAGTTTCATTTTCTTTTTATTTCTTATTTGCTCATCTTCTTTTTATTTCCTCATTTTCTTTTAATTTCTTCTTTCTCGTTTTTCCGTTACTAAAATGTTTATGAGTTAAAATCACTAAATTTGAATTGTTGCATACATGCCTGTACGTCGATTTTATTTTACTTTGTTTTTTAATAACAACTAAACCATATTTTATGCAATGAAAGGCGACTTAAAGGTGACTTAAAGCATATAATTTATATTATAAACATAATAGAACTAATTAATAATAAATTAGTGTTAATAAAAATAAGGCAATCGCATGAGTATAAACCAAATCAGCTTTGGAGTTCACAATTTATTTACTTAAAATAGCTTAATACTTTTATTTTTTTTTTTTTGTTTTTTTATAGCTTTTCTACAATTTTTAAGTGTGCTTAGTTTCTTTTTTAACTGCATTTGTGGCAAGTTGGCGAAAAGCACTAAGTTCCTTGGCAGATTGTTGAGTATTTGGTATACAAAGTGTCATGTTTGCGTTAAACTTGTGTTGAGATTTCTCATTTTGCTGTTTTATTGTTATCTTGCTTTATGGTTTAAGACTACTTGCTACTTATGCTGTATCTTTGCGTGTTTGTGTGTGTATTTATATGCTTTGCTTGGACAAATGGCAACTTAAATTCTTTCTTTTCATTATTTTCTGCGCACACTTTGCTCAACTGTTTACGCTTTAGCTTTTTTTTTTTTGCAAAATGACAAATCAATATTTATGAAAATTAAACCCTAATGAGGTCAATACTTTTGCTAATGTAGCTAAAATATCTAAATTATTAATAATTGTTTTTTTTTTTTTTGTTTGTTTCAATGAAGTTGGCAAATTAAAGCTTCGTTTAAACTTAACTATATATTAACTATACATAGAGACAATAGTTGCAGTGTTGTATTTTATAAGCATTAAGTGGGCACCAAATGCTCCGCTATATGCAACTGCATTGTTGCTTTAACAAATATATGATAATATAATTTAATTTAATTAAGTATGAAATGTTTGAATTTTAACATTTTTAATATTAATGTAATACATATGTGTATGTGCTGCAAGAGCAGTTTTTTTTTCTTTAAGTTTTTAGAGAAAACATATTTCAGGTACATTACAACTTAAAAGTAAGTAACTTAGAACACTACAGTTGACGGCAAAATTATGAAAAAAAATTATGTAAACAAAAAAAAAAA